AGCCTTGAGAAGTGGCACATTTTTTACAGCGTAAAGGCGCCATTTTGTTTTAGTTTAGCTAAAAAGCGACTGTTGCCAAAAAAGTTTATTTTTTATTTCATATTCTTGTACAAAATGTACGTCAAAAGTACTTTATAATTTTGTTTGTGTTAACCAAATGAATAAAATAATATAATATGTATTTTATTTTTTTGAAATTAATATATCTTCCAAAAATTAATTTTCTGTGAAATACGAAATATCTAAATTTTCTTGCAACTAAAAATGTTGTCTTTCTATTATAATATTTAATGCTAAGTAATCGTAAAGATTTAAAATTACTTGTAATCTTTTGTAATCTGACAATGAATCACATACATACAATTCAAAAACAAAGTCTTGCGGAATATTTTATATTTATATATTTATGTAATATTTAAAAAATAATTATATTATTTAAAAAAAAAGATATTCGAATGATTATGTATATAAATATCTGTGTTTGTATCTTTATACTTATACATATATATCTCTTTTAGTTTGATTATACAAGCAAGTATAAAATTATAGCATTTTGAAATCGTCTTTATATAGGATATAAAAATCATGAATAAGAAAATAGAGAATTATCATTATAAAAATTTGTATCAATGTCTTGTGACCTTTGGAGATCAACCAGAAATCACCGTTGACATTATTTACCATGTTGCAACTTTTGTATTTTTTCTATAAAATTTACAATATATTTTGCCTCAGGGAAATATTAGCGATGTTAACGTTCAATAACTAATGATTCAATTAATCAAATGGTCATATATATAGATTTATTAACATGCAGTTAATTAGTCAACAAACAAACAAATAGGCATATTAAAGTTGACAAATGTTAATGACGTTGACAAATGTTAATGGAGTTGACAGATTTCAACAATAATTTCAATATTAATTAATTTACAATTTAATTATATGCATAAATTGTAAATGCGGATTTGTTTGCGTTTAATTTTTAAAATATATTTATCATCGGCGAATGTGCATATCGCATTCCGAGGATCAACCGCAAGATGACACAAGATGATGAGAAACGTTAACATAACACATATGATGAGTGGATACATGCTGATGACGCATTTCTCTTCGTAATCTACTGTGATCCAACGTGATTTCATACGCGTAATACAATGACGAATTTTAGAAAGTGAGGGAAAAATTCCGACGATGGATCTTTTTCTCACCAGTTTGTAATCGATCCCATCATATCGAAAACATCAGTGTTTAACCGTCGAAAAAATAAAATTTGCATTTCATTTTATTTGCCATTAATTTCGCTTCGATTTGTAAATTCAACAAAAATATATAAATAATATAATGATGTTTTCTTCGATCAATTTTTCTTCTTTTTTCAGCGAAAATTCAATTTCTAAATTTTAAAATATCTCCAAAATTGAATTTACAATTTTATTATACTAAAATCTATCTCTGAACTTGTTTAAGGAATACAATTTTATTATCTGTTCTTTTTTTTGGCGAAGCTTAATCCGGAAAAAAAGTATTTTAAACTAAAGTGAGATATCCTTAGAAATTATATGTGTATTGAAAGATAAGATTTGATTTACTTTGTATTCTTTGAATCTGACCAAATACGCACTTCTGGACTGTATATTATCTTTGATAATTATATGTCATCGCGGAAATGAAGCGTTATTGTAACTGCAATCATCACGCTTCCGCTATCGCCATGTAATCACGTTCATGATGCACCGGAAATTAAGATGACCTTCATGCTTCGCAAAATTTATAGCGGTTTAACAAGATGTCTTTGAAATTGATCAGAAACTGTAAGGTTTAAAAACCTATTGACAACAAATACAATTAAGAATATAGAATTTGACAAACAATACTATGGAGAAATAAAATTCTGAGGAAAATAAAAAATAATCAAAACAATGATTAAGAGAATTTAATGAACAAATCTCCCTCCTATATTTTCAATAATTCAACGTTTCTAAAATATTTATCGTATATTAGAAATATATTTATATTTCTAATAAGTTATTAGAAAAGAGTCGCTTTTTTATTTCACTCGATCTACTTTCCTAACAGCACACATATCCCGAAGACGTTCAAAGGACATTCTGAGAATATCCTCTGAAAATCCTCTGGATATCCTATGAATATCTTTTGGATATGTTGTGCCATTAGGATTTTCCAATAAAATTCTTGAAAAATTCGACGTTTCGAAAATATATATGTATTTATCGTCGGAATATAACGAAGTGGAGAATCATATATGGTACATTCCATGTGGAACAGCACAATGTGAGTGTGGGATCGAATAGACCTAACAACAACCTTTTGTACGCGTTCTCTACCACGCGATTATAACGAAACGTAATTCCAACGTTCCACGAAGGCGCCATGGAACATCGCGCACCTGTACCAATAACATTTCCCGTTGTATGCGTGTACTCGCAAATAGATACACGCGCGCGCGCGCGCGCGCCCGCGTCGAGATTACGTATGTTCGTCCCGACTGTCATCGGTATAATTACGTTTGCAAACGGCAAACGCACTCGTGCATGCGCCGCCGACCCCGCATCCCGCAACGCCTAAAGCCGCACTCACATTGAAGGATGAAATTATATAGAGAAGCTATGGAAAATTGTGCATTATAATTGGAAAAAATTACGTATAGGATGTAAATTGCAACTATAGCTATTTATACATAGATTTTTTAAATAATTATATGTTTTCTTTACACCAATTGATTTCTCTCATTATATTTTGTGCATAAAGAAATCGAGAGGTAAAATCGTCAGAAAATGAATAGTTCTCCAGGTAGCATACTAACGTCATTAAACGTCAAAATAACGTCATTGATGTCGAATGACGTTCTTTTAGATTAGCAGATATTTCATTGTTTTTATATCAAATTAAAGTATAAAATATCTCAGTAAATTAGACTTTTAGGCCATTCTACTCTTATAACTTTTTATGACAAAGAATCGATTTATGTAAAAAAATATAGTAGTTCCATTATTTAAACAATCCAGCTTAACTTCTAAATAACTTTGAAAAAACGCCATCCAAGGGCAATTGGGGTAACAATATTATGTTTTCCTTGAAATCCTACAACTTTCAAAGAAAAGAATGCTAAATCATATTTTTCATTAAATCATACCTCTACTGTATTTTTTAAACAGAGTTAAGATTTTCAGGTGATAACGTTGTTGTATCATAGCTATAACTTCACTCGAAAATGCCACAATGTTTTTCCAAGTAAGATGATAAGTGACATTTATAAATTTATTTTGTGTAATTTTCATGTAATATTTAACACACTGTGCCTAAGCTATCACTTTGAGAAGAATAAGCAATTAAAATTATTAAAGCATTTTTTCAAATTTGATAAAGCAATAAAAGTTAAACAATGGAAGTCGATAAAACGTACCACTAACTTTTTTCTTCTTTTCGTACTCTGGTACGATCTACTAAATTAATTTCTTTACTTAAGCATTAATTTTTTTCTTTATATTTAGATGAACAACCGAAGAAAACGGTACCAACTTTTATCATTTATATCGAGATAATACTTATTTATACTTTTGTACGACACAAAAATATAAACAATTTTGTTTAAAAGAATTTATGATTATAATAATGACATTCTTATAGATGTTTTGTAGTAGACAGAACTTTTGTAGAAACTTTATGGGTGTTACAATTTTTAATTTTATTGTTAGAGGTACAATTATAAAAACTCATACAATGCAAAAATTTAGCAAACCAGTATATATATTGTAAATTATATCAAATACTATTATACTTTTTTTAATTTTTAATTTACGATATAAAATGATAAATTCGTGTTAATGTTTAGCGTATATATTGACAAAGAATCATAGTTTCAAATTAATAAAAAGATTTATATAGAAAAATCTATAAAAAATATTTTTCCTGAAAATGTATTATTTGCAAGATTGACTGCATCACTTAAAAAATGAAATATCTTGTACATATGTATATACATACATACCTTTACAAGTTTGAAAAACCCCTTTACATTTTACAGTTAAACAATCGCATGGCAGCAATCTGTCATAAATAAAAATGTCATTTAAATATTTTACGATTTATTCATACAAAAAATCTGCTATATGATTGTTTAACTGTAAAATGTAAGGTGTTTCCAAACTTGTGGAGGATACTGTATATATAACATACATGAGTATAAAATAGATAAAGAAATGAATAAGATAAAGGGGTGTTGACATTTCAAATCTTAGAGGATTAAGAATCAAATGAGATAAAAAGACAAATTTGACAAATTTAAATCTCAATGGAAGATTAATTACACATCATAAATCGAAGGATTCGTTCTAAAAATAAATGTTATCAATTTTTATCGGCAAAAAAAATAAGAAGAGTGAGAAGGGGGAGAAATAGAGAGAAATGTGAACCAAAGCATAGGATAATCATATACAAATATTTCAATGAACTTATTTCTTTCACAGTTTTGTGAAGAGTACAAAAAACAGCTTCCTTTCTCACACAATTTATAATATGATACTTCCGATATTTTTTGCACTATTTCCCTAACAGCACACATATCCCAAAGACGTTCAGAGAACATCCTGAGAATGTCTTCTGGATATTCTCTGAATATCCTCTGAATATCTTTCGGATATGTATTATTAGGGTTTTGATACTCGATGAAAGGATAATAATTGTATTTTGATATGTTTTTATAATTTTGTTTTAACATTTTGTATAATTGTTTTTTGATATTGACTATATTTCTGTCAAGTTTTATATATTTTTAATTCATATTCTGAAATGACATCATGAACGTATAGTGTTTACCATTCTACAATACATTAAATAATAACCTGAAGAGGACTTACTTTAGGATCGAAACGTTGTTCTTTTTTAATAAAAGAATTATTATTCTTAGCCAGTATTGGTCAATAAAATTATCTCAACCTTGTTTTTAATAATTGTATTGTTAGAATTTGAACTACTCACCTCGGTGCCACCCTCTTCAGTTCTCCGAGTGTCGGATTGTACATATCTCGGTTTCGCCCGCTATTTCTCGCCACGCCTTCGTCACCATTCACCACGTCCCCGTTTATCACCAAATCCATCAGATCGGCGAAATCGTCGTGCCTCCTGACCGTCGACGATGACGGAGTCAGTTCGCTTTTCCCGGATTTTTCAACTGCAGGCGTCGCGTCGCCGTTCGCCTGTTCCCGGCTGCCATTACCTCGTTGAAGGAACTTCCGGCGGAAGTTGTTGTAGACGCTGTCGGCGTCCGCCGGGTCGCCGACCCTAACGCGAGCGTGGCTTGGGGTCAGGTGATGGCCGCTGTAACCCAGATCCATCTGCAGGTCCATCACCAGCAGAAGCGTGAATACGATTGCGAACGCGCTAAGGCCCAGCACCAACTTGTCGCGAATGCGGATGAGTCTGATAGTCAGTTTCATGTTGGGATTTTTCTTACGGAGTCCGTCGATCGAGTCACTTCTCTTGTTACCTTCTAATAATCCTTGCTCGACTATCGGCAACCGCGAATCGTCCGATCGATGATCCAGAAGACGATAGGACTCGCGAATTAGTCGTTGGTTGCTCAGAAATTCGGGATTGTTCTTCGAAGCAGGTGAATCGTTGGTGTATATCCTGGCGACTAACTCTTCTATCCTAATGGATGGACTTTTCGAGATATTTGCGCAATTCTGTCTAGAATTTACTATTAATGACGAACGTCGATCCACAGATTTATCCAATCGATGATTTGTACAATTGGAAAATTTCTGTGAACCTTTTTGAACTATTTGTTGACGAGTTGGACCTTCGGGATTGTCGATTATCTTCAAGATAGGCAAATTGTTGCCGTTTACTTCGATAATTCGACTTGTCGGAGTTTCCTCGCAATATTTTATCCCAACAATTGGATTCTTCGAGCTCTCCTCGGAGTCTTTTCCTCATCGACCGATTTCCTTAGTACCACTTCGTGTTTTACTTTAGTGCCTCGAGTTTTCGAAATCTTTTCAGAATTCTTAATCTTGATGACCGAATCTTTCAAGTTCCTCTTTAGATCTTCAACATTTGTGCATCCCAATGCACTTTCAGATTCCGCGATAAAATTGACTTCCGGACCTTCTTCGGAGCTATCTTGCTTCGGGCAAGAGAAGATCCTAGAAATTGTAATATGCACTTCGGATGGTTTCGCGATCGACTGTTTCGCATAGCAATTCGAATCCGTAAGTCTGCATTTCACAACGGACGAATCGTGTTTATCGGCTGACCCGTCGTTATCAAACCCTGTTGACCCTTGACTCAGCCGGACTTCCTCCGGTGGTGGCGATCTTTTTGCTTTACAGTCGCTATTGCGTATTTTCTTAGCTTCCTGAAGAATTGACCCAGGAACTTTCGATAGAAGATGACGTCTGTGAATAATTGATGATCGATAAGGGAGATCAACCGAATCGTTTGTCTGTTGAAACGAAAGATAGTTACAGATGGTCCATTTTGCTTCTGATAGTCTAGTCTTTTTTCCAATTAAAGAAATATCTTCCTCGGTTGAAAAAGAAAAATCCCTCGTCGAAGAAAACTCTTGGTCGCTGGTTCTTTCGGTCAACGACAGACCCTTTTCAGAAATATCGTTTTCTTCTTCAATTAAAGAAGTGCCTTGGTTAGGTTGTGAAAAAATAACTTCCTTAGTTGGAGCAAAAATGGTATTTGTCGGAAACAAATTTTCCCGAACGTTGTTTTCTATTAATTGCAACCGTAAAGCTTCAGGAATATCTCCTTCTCGAGTCGAAGGAAAACAATTTTTTGTCGATAAAAAATTATTCTCGATCCGCGCTAACTTTATATCATCAAAAATCTCTTTTCTCCGCAATAATGAGGAACTCTTTGTTACACATGTAGACAATTGTGAGGTTTTCTCAAAAGTTTTTTTTACCAAAAATATCTTGTCGTCGCAAATGCTTGTTGACGGTTCTGAATTTTTCCGAATATTTTTGTCCATTAATCGCATTAATGGATCAAGGGAAATAGTCTTCTTCAGATTGTCGCTGACATTTTTTTTAATCGAGAGACGTGGATTTTTTTGAAAATAATTCTTTGAGAATAAACGGAGAATATTATTTCTGGCCGATGACAGATTCTTCCCGATGTTTTCCCGCGTTAATTGTTCCTTAAGATTTAACTTCGTCAACAGTGTATCTTCTTTGATTTTCTTCTTTGGCAATGAAATGTCTTCATGAAGCCCTTCTTTTTTTGACAATGAAGGATTATTCAGATTGTATTTCTCCGCAATTAATACACTCTGCTGATTGTTTATTTCGGCTATCTTTCTCTGAATATTATTCTTCAGTCGATTTTCGTAAAAATCCTTTCTCGCTAATATTAGGATTTGTCGATCGCTTCTATCAGTTGACAATGTTTCCCTGTTTTTTCTCAGCAACAGAGAACCTTCCTTTAAAATTCTTTTAATATCTTTTTTCTTTAATATTAAACTCCGTCTTCTATTGTCTAATGATATTTCTTCTCGAATACCCTTCTTCAACGACAAGAAATTCTCCTGAACATGTTTCTTCCTCAGATTTGGCTTCCGCTGGATGTTTCTCTTTGGAAACGATTGGCTCTTATTGATCCTTCCCAGCAATCTATCACATCTCTTACCGATTTTACTCTTACTCGACACTCTTCGCAAGGAATCCCCCGCTTTATTAAAGCCCTCAACAACTTTCACTCGATCGTCGATCCCACCATTTGACAATTCGAAGGATCCATCTGTTATTACCCTCCTTTCGAGGTTCCTTGACTTTTTATCATCATCATTCTTGTCTTTGAATTTAAATCTTCGGCTCGTCGATCTCGATCTTGATTCTCTGCCCCTTGATCTCGGATCTTCGGGTCCTTCGCGCAATTCCTCGCGATCAACTTTCGCGTTATCTGTGTATGTCGGGCGGTCGGCAATTGCTGTCGCGTTGCTGCAGCTTGTACTTCCGGAACATTTCCCGTCAGCCAGAGCTCGGGATGATTACGAAAGGATGATGTAATCCGGCGTCGCGACGCGCCGGATTCTCTCGAGAAATTTAATGAACGACGGATACGATCACTCGATTACACACGACACCCTTTTGTTGCACTTTTATTGCACTTTGAACATTTGTGAAAAACGGCAAAATATATCACTTATGTAAGTTAAATAAAAATGTGTTTATTACCCAAATAAAGATTGAATTAATTGGTGAATATATTAATTAGATTTTGAATACCGGTGCACAACGTCCTTTTTATCGCGCCGTCTGAAACAGAAAAATAATTTAAATTATATGAAGAAAATATTTTGACAATTATTATTATTATGTTTATACAACTGTTATTAATTTAGTTATACAGATGAGAATTTGTAAATAAAAGCGAAAAATTTTAGGAAATGATTCTTTGTCGGAAAAAGCGATTTTTTATATAAACACATATATACTTTTCCAAAGAATGAGGTAAAAATTAGGTTTATAATTTTTTTCTTAAATTTTGAAAAAATTAAAAAAATATAATTTGGTGAATATTTTTCACTAGTAAAAAGAAATGATTAATATTTTTTTTAGTTTTCTGCATTGTTATAAAGGGATGAAACTCACAACTCTTATTCAATTTTTATTAGAATTTTTTAACCGACCAGAATATGATCATCTAAAAATATCCGGTAATAAGAAAGTTTGATTCTTTTAAAAACTTTTTTATGTATTTTTTTATAGAATCAATAATTTTCAAAAAACAAATAAAACTTAATTTTTATCTCCCCCTTTGAAAAAATGTAGCTTCTCAGAGAGGGATATCCGAGTATATAAAAACTCTTCTTCAGTTTCAGCAAAAATAATCTAAAATTTTTCGCACTTATTTAAAAACACTTTGTATATTGTTATACACTTAGTGACTAAAGTTTAGTCACATATAACTTTATATTATTATATAATTATTATATATATATATATATAATATATATATATATATATATAGATTAACTTGATTAAAATTTCTTATATTTTCTAATTTTGTTCTGTCACACAAATATTTTGTGAGAGATTTTTTATTACAAATTATTTATTCCTCATATTAAATATTTTTGTAATATTTCTCTTTTTTTCATCTCTTTCTTTTTTTCTCCTTTTCTTCTATATCATTTTTGTGCACTCATTTTTTTTTTATAAATAAAATAATAAATGCTTTTCCACGATTAAAGTGCATATAGAAACAAGCGCGAACTTATCAATTTTATATTAAAAACAAAAAAATGTTTTTAAATTAAGAAATTAAAAATTGTTTGTTCTTAACATAAAATCGATAAGTTTGCGCTTTGTTTCTATATGTACTTTAATAATAAAAAAGCATTTATTATTCTATTCAACCAATAAAAAAAAAGGATGCACAAAAATAATGTTAGGATCGCCTTAATTAATTCTTAAAATCTTTTAAAAAAATTATAATTTATAATTAAAATTCTATTATGATTGCATATCGACATGCCGTGTTGCATTTGCGAGTTAACGTAATGGGCCGTCGTAATGCATCATATGGTTCGTTGGTATATGTAATTCAAGTCGATAACAAGACTGGCCAACGTTATTTTATACAATGGCGCGCGGCGGTATTTTTTTTTATATCGTTATATCACGTTACCGTCACATATACATAATACACGTGCCACTTTGATATCAAGAGACACGTAGTGTCTCGCGACCAGTTAGGGCGTAGCGGAGACACCGTGTATCTTAACGCGAGTCGGACATTTGAGTCTTTATAATATTTCGAATCCTCAATAATGGCTGAAGCAATCGAGTTTATACTAGACTTAATCGATAGATTGAGTTCGAATTATATAATAAAAGTGTCTTTATTTCTGCTCTACGTGATTTGTAAGCAGAGATATATAAATGCAAAGTCGAAATATGAAATATTTCTATTAAGAAACGTCCCCGTCATCATTATCATCATCATTATCATCATCGACCACGCATACATAGTAGTATCGTGCTACACGTATTCACACGTATACAACACATGCGCACACATATATCACACGTACACAACACATGCAAGATGCATGTAGTGGTAATTTTGTCCATCTCGCACGTTTTACAACAGATGGCGATAGAGGCGCTCCGCCATATCGGCAGCGTGCGGGGTTATGTTGGCTCTCTCTCTCTCTCTCTCTCTCTCTCTCTCTCTCTCTCTCTCTCTCTCTCTCTCTCTCTCTCTCTCTCTCTCTCTCTCTCTCTCTCTCTCTCTCTCTCTCTCTCTCTCTCTCTCTCTCACACACACACAGCACACACACCACACACACTCTCTCATTCTCACTCACTCACTCACTGTTCGTCTTGTGTACTTATTTAGTACATTCATGATCGGCAGCGTGCGGGGTTATGTTGGCTAACTCTCTCTCTCTCTCTCTCTCTCTCTCTCTCTCTCTCTCTTTCTCACACACACACGCACACACACACACACTCTCTCATTCTCACTCACTCACTCACTGTTCGTCTTGTGTACTTATTTAGTACATTCATGATTAAACATCTATATGCATTAATGTGAAATTTACTTACAATTAGTTTACTTGAAATATTCAATCTCTAAAGTGTTTATCTTATAAGATAGACAAAAAAATCTGAGTAAATAATGAGAAAAAAAAACAAGGATTATTATTGTCATAATTTTTTATCAATTAAGTACTCTCAACTATCCAATAATTAAATAAATACGTACAAATGTGCGCGCGTGTACACACATACACATATTGATATTAAAGAGATTGAAAGAGAGGAAGGAGAAGATAAAAATTTAAATATTCACATATATTTTCAAATATTATATATGAATTTATAGTTTACATATCTAATTAATAATGAATTTCTAATTATATTAAACATATCAAAATAAAGACATACATGTATTTATCAAATGAATAAAATTATTGAATACAGACTTAAAAAATTTATTAAACATAGACTTAAAAAATTAATTAATTAAACATATTCCAAATTTAGAAAAAATAAACTTTATTTATATATGCAACAGCTTTTTAAACTAAATTTTTAAATTCTATTTTATATTAGACAATTATCTCAATCAACATCTACGTCCACATTAGCTGCACTGCAGACTACCTCTACAGCCACATTATCTGCTCCGCGGATATAGCGTTATGCCAATACGATACATTACATGTACTTACTTACTTGCCTTTACTGTACCAACTCTTGTTCTTTTCACGTAATCATGTTTTTACAGTTATCGTTTGCTGTATATCTTCCAGCAAACTTTATTTCGTGTGAAGTGTATTTAATTAATTAAATCTCTGCGAAAGATTGAGAAGATGAAGGGATAATTCAAACTATGAACACATGGTTACATGGAAAAGACAAGAGTTGATACAATAATAAAGACATACATGTATTTGTATCCTGCTGGCATAAGGTTATAGAAGTTGATTGAGATTGAAAAATAATAATGAAAATAATAAAAAAAATAAAGACACATGTATTTGTATCGTGCTGGCATAAAGTTATAAAAGTTGATTGAGATTGAAAAATAATAATAAAAATAATTAAAAAAAGGAAATATTCAATCATCATTTAAAAGCATATTTGAAATCTGTAGAATAAACAGTTTTTGCAAAAAATGTGGAGCATTTGAGCTCTAGTAAGTCTAAAAATAAATGTAAACATCAATTAATAATAACTGATGTATATATATATTATATATATAAACCAATTTGTTGCAATATTCACTATAAAAGGTTGTAAGGGTAAGATGGCTAAAAGTGAATAATTTAAAAGATAGTTAACATAATTTTACATAAACTGAAATATTTCATAAAATAAAATATTTGTAATATTTCGAAGTTTATGTAAGATTATGTAAAAATTATACCTTTACAACTTTTTATAGTAAATATTGCGAGTTAAATCGATTTATATGAGAAAAATTAAGGTAATTCTATTTTGACAATATAAGTGACCTTTAAATAACCTTGAAAATCGCCGTTTAGGAAAAAGTCTGTGTCAACTTTTTCTTTTTCGAAATCCTGCAACTTTTATCTAAATTTAATAGAAAATGTATAAAAAATGCTCGACATTAGTACACACACACACACACACACACATATACACACACACACACACATATGGGTAAATTTATATAAATAGGGTGCTTTAGGAGGAATGATCAGGATTCTAGGATATGATTGTACACATCATTTTAAGCAAAGTTGCAGACATATATAGAGTCGTATAATGAATCAGTAAAATTTAAATTTGCAAATGTAGAATCGTACCATAAAAAAACTTATCTTTTAAAAAAAAGATAAACAAGATGCCAAGTCCATGCGCCATGTGAAAAAGAAATAAAAAATTTTAGTTAAAAAAACTGGGAGCGCTGCTAATAATATTCTAACAATATTAAAATTAAATTGTTACTTTTAAACTCATTACAGTTAAAATATGTTTTGTGTTTAAATTAATTAATGTTACTTTAAGGTGCATTGTAATTTTGAAACTTAGCAGCGCGCCCAGTTTTTTTAACTAAAATTTTTTTATTTCTTTTTCACATGGCGCATGGACTTGGCATCTTGTTTATCTTTTTTTTAAAAGATAAGTTTTTTTATGGTACGATTCTACATTTGCAAATTTAAATTTTTACTGATTCATTATACGACTCTATATATGTCTGCAACTTTAATTTTCCACTGGTACAAGTTTCTACTTTCACTTGGCGCAATTTTTTTTTTATTTCATTACTTTTTAAATATAAATTTAACATATATAAGATAGGCAATAAGAGCCAAATCGCGGATGACAGTGCGTTATTCTAAACGAAACTAAATTTTTTCGTTAGAATTAAATACCTGTGCACAAGGCACCAAATTTTTACTTGGACACGGCCAAGATATAAAATTGGAATAATCTCTACAAGAGATTTTTAATTCCATGTATCCCCTATTCCCCCTAAAGAAATAAAGTGCGAGAGAAAAATATAGATCCGAAAGTCGCAGAATCGGGAATCGAACCCGAGACCTTTCGCTTGCCGGGCGACTGCTCTTCCAACTGAGCTATTCAGATCCTTTCGATTCTATACTTTTCTCTGTTATATATATTAATGTTGGTAAATAAACGCCTTTAAGCCAGCGTGTATAAATTAAGAGTTTAACTAGGCTCTGTAATATATAAATATAAATTTAACATATATAAGATAGGCAATAAGAGCCAAATCGCGGATGACAGTGCGTTATTCTAAACGAAACTAAATT